CGCGCGCGCACAACTGATTATTATTACAATAAGCTAGTCTTGACGTAGATATACGTAATGAATTGTGCGCTGGTCAATGGAATCAAAAGTTGCCGTATGCTCAGCTCTACACAGCAACACAACTTTTTCTTGGTAAACAATCGAGATGACACAGGCTTGTGTATTTGAACGAATCGGTCTTTTTTTTTTTTCACAGCTGATAATATGCAGGTGCCAGGTGGTCTGCTAATCTTAAATTTTACCAGGGGTGAGAATATAGTTGGTCTTGTGGCAATAAGCATGTCACTGAAAAGTTGCAGAATGTCATTGATCTTGTTGATTCTAGAGATAATCTTTCTCTAGTCTAAGAAGGAAAGATCTTGATTGCCACTGGTTAGTTCGTTAAGTTAATTGGTGACAAAAGTGACTCGATTTGCATAAATCCAGTCTCTGACCACTTCTTCTCAGTGACATTTATCGTTTTCGGCCTTGTTAAAAACATAGACTAAAAGGTACTTTTAAAAAGTTATTGAGCTTTTCCCTCTTTATTTTTATTTTTTGACCGGTAGTTTGAAGATGCTGCTAAAGAAGTTGCAGATGAAATCACAAGACCTAGACCTGAGGGTGAAGAAGAAGTGGAGGATATTCAGGTGATGCTTACATCTGCATCCAATGCTTGTGGCATCCGTGAACTGAAGGTTTGTACCTCTTGTTTTAATTTTCAACTTTGTTATTCGTCAGAATTTTGTAATTAAATCCACTTGGGTGGATTTCTGAATATGTGTGCATTTTATTCCCTGAAGAAGAAAAAATAATCAGTCACTCACTTTCCATAGAGGGGTCTGAAAGCTTATTCCTGTGTGAAGTTCGTTTTTACAAAAAGCTAGTCAGGCACAACTTAGCCCTATGGCCCAATGTTCTCTCACAGGCCCTACAGTAATGACCATTTTATGAAAATATAGAGAGGCTTTCTCATCTGATGACCATTTAAATGTCTGTCACCGTGATTCTTATCTTTGAAATAGTCACAACTGTTAAATTTGCTTTTTTTGTTGTTGTATCTCCCTTTACTTTTCTCTTTAGGTCTCTCGTTCTTTATTGTCCAGGTTCTTTACTATTTTTAGCAGCAAAAATATTTATTTTTTAAAATTTCAGTCAGATCAGATGTCCCGCCTGGTGAAAATCCCTGGCATAGTTATTGCTGCTTCGGCCATCAAATCAAAGGCAGTAAAACTGGCAATTCAGTGTCGCAGCTGTGCAAATGTGTTGAACAATATCCAAGTGAAGCCTGGTCTTGAAGGATATGCTTTGCCAAGGAAATGCAATACGTGAGTCAAATTGTCTTTTATATCAAAACTATTTTGTTCGCATAAAAGTAAAAGCTTTCTCTCTTTTCCTGTCATTGTAATTTATTTGCTCATTTTGTTGGCCAATTAGATGTGCCAATATTAGTTCATGAAAAGACATTTAGACTTGATAGAAAGCCCATGGTAAGAAACAACAGATTTGGGTCTGTGACTGATGAGAGTCAGGGTTAGGTTGATTTAAATCAGTTGATTTTTTAACTTTAAATCAACTTGATTTTTAAAATAAAAATCAGTGATTTAAATCACTTTTTTTTTTTAAATTTATTTTTATTCAGTTTTTACATATTTCAACATTCAGAATTCCTTTCCTTGGTTTCTTAAAACAGATATAAGGTTAAGTAGACGAATATAATCATGTTTTAAAAGTCTGCTTTCCCTCCTTTCACTGTAAAATAATACAGTATTCAATTTACTTTTTTTTCCATAATTGAAATCAGAGCTGGGTTGATTTAAATCGGGTCGATTTAAATCTGTTGATTTTTTAAAAAAAAATCAGTGATTTAAATCACTTTTTTAAAAATGTATTCAGTTTTTACATATTTGAACATTCAGAATTCCTTTCCTTGGTTTTATTAAACAGATATAAGGTTTAGTAGACTAATATAATCATGCTTAAAAGTCTGCTTTCCCCCCTGTCACTGTAAAATAATACAGTATTCAATTGACTTTATTTTCATAATTGAAATCAGGGTTGGGTTGATTTAATTCGGGTCGATTTAAATCTGTTGATTTAAAAAAAAATTAAATCACTTTAAAAAATATTTTTTGTTTTTACATCTTTAAACATTCAGAATTCCTTTCCTTGGTTTTATAAAACAGGTATTAGGTTTAGTAGACTAATATAATCATGCTTAAAAGTCTGCTTTCCCCCTGTCACTGTAAAATAATACAGTATTATATACAATTTACTTTCTTTTTAGACAAACACAAGCGCGCGCGCACGCACACACACACTGTAATAAAATGCAAGTTTATCTATGCATAATTACACACACACCCTCCTTTACTTTTAGACTGACATTTTCTTCATTTTTTGTCTGTAGCCATAATTCACTGATATATAGCAGATTAAGGCTTTCTTTTGCGGTTGCTTAAATTAATCATAAGTTAAAATAAAGACAATGCATTTTGCACTAAAAGAACATACAACCAAAAATCCCAAACTATGTCGACATTTTTTTTAAAATAAAAAAAGTCACCAACCCTGATGAGAGTAAAATTGGGAAGAATGAGAGACTGCTTTATCAACTGGGAGGGAGACTTATCTACTAGATTGCATGTTTTTAAAAATGATGTCCGTCTTTTATTTGATTATTTATTAAAGATTTGAACTTTTATCAGGGAGCAAGCTGGGAGACCAAAGTGCCCTGTGGACCCATTCTTCATCATTCCAGACAAGTGCAGATGTGTTGACTTCCAGACCCTTAAACTGCAGGAAGCCCCAGAAGACGTTCCCAATGGAGAACTGCCAAGACATTTACAATTGTATTGTGACAGGTAAATGATTATTATATTCTTTGCAAAGGAGATGCAAATTAAGTGTTTCGAAAATATTTGTGGCCTGATTAAACTTTTCAATGGTCACAGGCTTTGCCAGATCGATTATCAGCTAACATCATCATTTTCCTTCTGTTGATTCTGTTGACAGCACTGTTGCTTTTTCTTTGCTTACGAAGTTTGACAGATAGATAAGCTTACTGTTCGTGTTTCAATTAATAGGTCATCAAAGATATTAAGTCACTGTCTTTATCAATATTGTTTTATGCCGTTATCTGCTCAAAGAAACATTCAGACTTCTCAGTAAAGCATTCTTTTTTACTCATTTTTTTGTTTTTCACTGCTGTCAGATTGGGGGGGGGGGGGTGAAATCTTATTGTTGATGAATATATATGGTTGTTATTTGTGAAGTGTATGGAATTGATGCATATAAGCTTTGTGGTTCTATAATGGTGTGAACCTGAAATTCTCTTTTCATTGGTCCTCAGATATTTGTGTGACAGAGTTGTTCCGGGCAACAGGGTCACCATCATGGGTATTTATTCCATCAAAAAGACTGCAAAACCATCAAAGGTTTGTGGGTTAGGAGCCTGTTAAAGAAATTTTTGAGTTTTGGTGTGTGGTTGTTTTTTTTTGGGGGGGGGGGGGGTAGTGTTTTTCAAAATAATTTTGTTTTTGTTGTTGTTGTTTTGTGTCACCAGTCTGTCGGGGGTTACCATTTCACTTTTTCATTTGTTGTCAGTATGTTACCAATTTAAGACCATCTGATTAGACAATATCTGTGGGTGGTTGGCGGGTGCTCTGGTGTGGTTTGCTTCTTCTTTCCTATCAAACATCTATCGTCCTTATCTCCACTTCTTCTTTTTTGTGTTTGTTACTCTCTTGTAACACCTCTAATCTTCTGGCGCTTATATGACCTTATGCAGTTGCGAGCGCCGTAAAACCTCTACTAAAACTAAAAAAAGACAAGATCTCATCCTTTTAAAGGAACGAGTCATCTACTCAATAATCTCTCCTTGCATTAAAATCAACAAGAAGTATCCCTGTGGGTTCTTTAAACAGATTAACCAAATTGCTCATAACATGCTGTAATTATCTTGAAATGTCTGATGTCCATCTCTTTTACTTTAGTGTTTCATGTTCTGAGGGATGGCCTGTGATGTGAATTTCTGAGACTTGAGATTATTATAACATATTACATGTCCATTTTGATAATTTCTACTGTTATGATCTTTGTGGCTTGGTTGGGGATTCTGTATGATCTGATTTCAAAAGCTATAATGGTTTTGAGTGGTTTTGTTTCTAATTTACACAGAGAAATACCAGAGACAAGGTCAATGTAGGCATTCGGCAACCATATTTCCGAATTGTCGGCGTGAAAGTGAACACAGAAGGCACTGGACGTTCTGCAAGCAACCCGTTGACACCCACTGAAGAAGATGACTTTCGCCGTCTTGCTGCCTCACCAAATCTCTATGAGACTTTGGCCAAGAGTGTTGCCCCTTCTATTTACGGCAGCCTTGACATGAAGAAGGCTATTACTTGCCTCTTGTTTGGGGGATCAAGGAAACGGTAAGAAAATCCTCATTTTCAGTATGTGTTAAGAGTTGGACCTGTTTCACACGCACACACCTTTATTTTAAAGATGCTGACTATCCACTACGGCATATATATTTGTATCTGTTGAGGGGGGGAGGGGGTAGTTAAGTATTTTTGACTATCTTATCCATTACATATTGTGGTTGTGCTCATATGTAAAAAGTATACTTTGATTGTGTCCTCAGTCTCCCGGATGGTCTTACTCGAAGAGGAGACATAAATCTGCTCATGCTTGGAGATCCTGGTACTGCCAAATCACAACTGCTGAAGTTTGTGGAAAGATGCTCGCCTATTGGGGTATGTACTTTGCTTCTGAAGACATTCTTAAAATAAAACATAGGGGCCTTGTACATCTAGCTCTCACTGGTAAAATAGAAGACAAATGTTACTGCAATTTATTTCTCAGAAAAGCTCTACAGACGGGTAATGGTGAAAGACCAGGATAATATACGGGGGGGGGGGGGTTAGAACATCCAGGCAAAGAATGAATCGTGAACCATGATCACTGCTGTCTGTCGCAGATCTGGCACTTGATTGTTTTAGTGTTTGCCCTCTTGGATACTGTGGATGGTTAAGTGCTCTTGTTTTTCAAAGTGCATTGTTTTTTATTCCCTTGTGAAATTTAGTTATTATGTTTTGTAAAAATGGGACTTATGATCTTAGCATAATGTGTCCTCTTTGTTAATGTTGTTCTACCCTGTTCATGCTTTTGTAATTCATTTATCAACTGTCTTGTAACTTTCTATTACACACTATTGGATTTTTTTCCATAGCTTGAGAGGCCATTTTACATGTCATGTGGTTGCTTAGAGGATGCCATTGAAAGGTACTTCTTTACTTTCCCTCTCTCACCCAGCACTAAATGACTGTTAGTGTGTTGAACTGCTTTTCTCTATTTAAACTGAAAGCAGGCATACAATACTTATCTTCCGTTATAATTTGCAGGTGTACACTTCAGGCAAAGGCAGCAGTGCAGCTGGTCTGACAGCGTCTGTGATCAGAGACCCCTCTTCGGTGAGTGGTTGATGGGTGCTCGTCTGTGGTTGGTTCTTTCTTTCAATTATTTATCGTCCTTATCTTCTCTTCCCCCATTCTCTTGTAGCATCTTAAATCTTTGGTACTTATGTGGGCCTAATTATGTTGCAAGTATTGTAAAATGCTTACCAAAACAAAGAGATCCTTCCTCTAAATTTCTTTTGTAGTGAGGCTTATTTCCCTCTGTTCAGTAGCTTTGTTGTTTGTTTGTTTTTTTAAGTAAGTGTTTTACGGCGCTCGCAGCTGCATACTGTCATGTGAGCGCACGGGATACATTAAACATTTTCAGTTGGCAGGAAATGTTGAATTTTGCCCCAAGTGGCGACCGAAGCCTACTCATTAATTTTAGACCACGAAGGGATCTTTAACGTGCACTGCTTGCACACGCGACCTCCAAGATTTTTCGCTTTGTCTGAGGAGGCTAGGTGTAGATCTCCTACCAGAAGATCAGGGGAGTGGCTGAAAGACAGCTGTAAGAAGGAGCCAAGGAGTAGCAGTAGAAAGGCTGCAGAAAGAGTGAGGAGCCCAAAGGAGGGGGTAGAAAGTGGAGACAAAAGCATAGAACAGAACATTGCTAGAGAGCAGGAAAGAAGGTGAGAGTGGACAGTTTTAGAGACGAAAATTTTTCCGCCGCTACCCTGATTCGAAACCGGGAATTTCTCAATTGTGTTCATGTTTCTCAACCTTAACTTATCCCTTGCCAGATCAAATCCAGTAATTTCTTAAAACCAGTGGTGAAAGAGAAAATATCTCTAAAGTATGTGAATGTTACATTTTAAAATTATCAGGACTGTTTGATATTCTGTATCTGGCTTATCATGTTCTTATGTGGTCTATTTTGCTTCATTCCTGTAATTTTCCTAGATTTTTGTGACCTTAATTATCGTAAGATGCTTTGGGTGATACTTTTGTTTCTATTAGCTTATGTTTTGTAGGCAAACAAAATAATTGTTTTTCATGTATTGTTTACAGCGAGGCTTTGTTATGGAAGGTGGCGCTATGGTTCTGGCAGATGGTGGTGTTGTTTGCATTGACGAGTTTGACAAGATGAGAGAGGATGATCGGGTGGCCATTCATGAAGCTATGGAACAGCAGACTATTTCTATTGCAAAGGTTAGCTAAACATTTTATACATTATATATCTATTATTTTTTCAAGGAAGTTCTGAATTTAGGTTATATTTATTCTGAAATTTTAGCTTAATACATCTGTTATGAAGAAAAGTTTTTGCCAAGACAAGAATATGATTGAAAAGCATGTCCATTTATTGATTCTTATGCAGGACACTTCTTGTCGGGCTCTATTTTTAAATATGTAGTTTAAAGAGCTTTTGTAGTATTATTCACACACACCCTTTCCTGGGGGGGGGGGGTTGTGTTACTTTCCATTATAACTCTGGTTGAAGCAAAAATAGTAGCTTTTATCTTGTTTTTGTTTGAACTGACAATCTACTAAAGGCATTTTGTAAATTGTTTTTGAACATATTTTTGTGTTCTAGGCGGGCATCACGACTACTCTGAACTCCCGTTGTTCTGTGCTGGCAGCTGCCAATTCTGTGTTTGGTCGCTGGGATGACACAAAGGGTGGAGAAAATATTGACTTCATGCCAACCATTCTCTCAAGGTTTGACATGATCTTCATTGTGAAGGATGAGCATGATGAAGCCAGGGACATGGTGAGTTCTTGCTCATGTTAGATAAATAAATCCTTATGAATGAAGGAAGATTTTTTGTTGTTGCTATTTTGAGTGCTGAAGTTTGCTTCTTTATCTCTCCCCCCCCCCTTTT